TTTGCTTGTTTGGATGTATTAAACTGAAACCGATTATATTTATACATTTTCTACTGATTTCTATTGATACCAGTTGTACCCATTACGTGAAAAATTTTACCAATATGCAGAGGATGGATATTACCGGCTTTTCCTTTGTCACTCTCTATCATAAGAAGAAAGGGACCGAAGTCAGTGCCTTTATATTCAACTTTTCTCCTACTGATATTTTCAATCGTAGAGGATAAAATCTATTTTTTATTTCAAAAAGTTTCTCTTCAACTTGATAAATATTTTTTTATGTCTAGGAGCTAACATGTGAGTAGATTTTAAAAAGTTTTGAGAATCCAATTAAAGCAAAGCAAAAATCCTGCCCCATTTATCAGGGGGGCCGGGAATATTGACATCCATGCCTTACGATCTACTGCTACTTATAAAATATAATGTAAAAAACTTACAATAAAGTCCGTAGAATTTTCTTACTCACTATTAACTAAACTATATTGTTCAAGAAATAAATAACTTTATTTTAATTTCAATTACTTAATTTCAATGACTTTATTGAAAATGAAAACACTCAATTTCCACCGATTAGATTACTTAGATTCAAAATTTTCTCAAAAAGCTCGACACATGCGTCCTCCACCACAAATCATTCAACCCAATACAAAATCCATTCCAACCTTTCAGCACAGAATATGAAATAGGTATATTCTCTCACTAGTTTCTCCTATGGTAAATTCTCATAAATACATCAACGAAAGACACAAACAATCGATACTTGACAGTATGTCATAAATTTTATGACGTAGTTAACAATTTTAAAAACTTTTGTAATTATCTAAAATACATTAATATCCTTATCAAATTATAAAATAATTTTATGTTACATACACTGTGTCCGTAAAATATGGAAATTTTTTTTAGCTAAAAGAGCATTTTAAGAAATAATCCTGCAACACGTCGGTTTCTGATTTTAATTTACCGTATTTTAAAATATTCTAATATACAGGGTAAACTACTTTCGAGTAATGACGTCACCGTCATTTTTTTTAATAAAACACCCCCATTTTTTCTGAATTTTTGGATTACTCTAGCTGAGCTGATTCCAAAAATGTATCACATGTTGATTCAAATTGGTACAGGGTGGACAAAATAAAATAGTTTTGTGTGTGTTCATAAAGTAACGCGTTGGTTAAATTAACAATATTATCAAAAATACTTGTCTAGCGGACAGAATATGATGAAATACATGACTTTATAAATGTTCGAACTGCAGCCCTTGCTGACACTGTATTTGATGTACTGTATTTGACAGTAACCCAAACGTTGTACAAATTATTACAATATTTTTGGTATTTGTGAATGTTTTAATGATTAATTTCGAGAAATTGGTACGGTTGAAAATGCACGGAAATTAGGTCGTTCCTCTGCAAATGCTGATACAGCCTTACTTAGTTTTGAAGAAGATGCACACACTTCTGTTCGTAAAGTTAGTCGCGATATCGGTGTTAGCAAAACAACGGTACAAAAACTATTAAAGCTTGAAAAATGGCATCCTTTTAAAATCAAACTTATGCAGGCATTAAACGAAGATGATCCCGATAGAGCAATGCAATTTTACGAAGCAATGATGGATAACTGCCACCGAGACCCTCTCTTGGTACCAAACATTATTTTTTCTGATGAGGCCACTTTCACGTTAAATGGCGAGGTTAACCGTCTCAATTATAGATACTGCGCAAAAGAAAACCCACACTGGATGCGTGAGCGTCATACACAATACTCGCAACTGGTAAATGTATGGGCTGCAATTGTAAGAAATCGAATTATCGGACCCTACTTTATCGAAGGTAATTTAAACGAGGCAACGTACGTTAAGTTTTTAAGGGGGTATCTGGTACCTACTTTACGTAATTTGTTTCCCAGCAGACGTAATACTGGAGGTTGTGATGAAAGTTTATGGTTGCAACAGGATGGTGCACTTCCACATTATGCTGTAGATGTTAGAAGGCGCCTAGATAAAATTTTTCCGAACACGTTGATTTATTGAATAGCCAGCGAGATCACCAGATTTTAAATGGAGGCATCTGAAGAATGTTGTGTATCAAACGAAACCAGCAAATATTCAACAATTACAAGAGAGAATTCGGACAGCAATAAAAAATATTTAAAAAGGTTATTAAGAATTAGTACAACGTTTGGGTTACTGTCAAATACAGCAAGGGCTGCAGTTCAAACATATAAAGTCATGTATATCATCATATTCTGTCCGCTAGACAATATTTTTTTTTGATAATATTGTTAATTTAACTATAGTCCTTTTCCATCATATTGATAGCACATTATGTATGCAAATCCTCAACAGGTCAAAAACCATAGGCGTCGCCCTATACTTGTTTTGAAATAAATAAAAAAAATAATATTTTTAATATGACGTCAATAATTGATTATCTTTTAAAAAATCTTCTGTAAAATAAGTGTCCACTAATCTCACTATACCTTTTTTGTGTGTAAAAAACGTCGGTATATATGACAATTCAATGTTTCACGAAATAAATTAATGAAAACAGTAATTTAATGGTGATTATTGTTTTCTATAAAAGTTATCGCCTGACACAAAAAGAATACCTTCTTTGAACGATTACCTGGAATTACTGATAAGGTTTCACTAATGATAGTTTAAGTAGTTTTTATGCCACATTACAGCTTATGCCAATAATATAAATTAGAAATTGTTTGCGCCTTCCATTTAGTTTGTAGATGTACATTGTTCATGTCTTACCTACCTACGTTTTTGGTGTCGATATTTTGTTATTTGCATTTAAAAATGACGTCGAAAACACGTTTTATCCTGGTTAAGTGTAGTTTTAAAGGTGCCTTTAGTCTAAGAGAAAAAAATATAATATTAAATGTACACGATGCACTTGTACATCAACGCCCTTTATGTAATGTTAGCGAAATCGTTAACATGTGTTCAAATATGACAGGGGTTGGAGAAGCAACAATTTATAGATTCCTAAAAGAAAGAAAAGGAGGAATTGTTTCATCTCCCAAGAAGAGTGGAGGGAGTAAACCCTTGGAAATTGAAGAAGTACATAAAAACATGATAAGACGCAGCGTCCACTCATTTTTTTTAACAAAGAATTTCCAACATTGGACAAAATCCAAACATTAATTAGAGAAAACGAAGAGTTACCAATCACACGCAACAAGAAATTATGGGGACTATTGAGAGAGATGGGATTTCGTTGGCAAAAGAATAGGTAGAAGAAAATCCGTTTTAATTGAAAAATATTATATTGTATGGTGGAGACGAGATTATCTAAGAACTATTAAAAAGTACCGAGAAGAAGGGAAAACAATTTTTTATTTGGACGAGACTTGGCTAAATGAAGGTCATACTATACCATATCTATGGGTTGATACAAATGTGAAAAGTTCCCGTCAGGCATTCATCGAAGGTGTATCTACTGAAATAAATAATATTCCTGTTGTAAAAGGACGCAGACTCATAATAACCCATATTGGAAACCAATACGGTTTTGTCAATGGTGGATTATTAAGTTTTGCCTCAAAATCAATCAAAGAGTACCACGAGGAAATGACTGCTGACGTTTTTGAAGAATATTTTGAGCAAATGTTGGATTTAATTCCAAAAAATTCTGTTGTAGTCATGGATAATGCTAGTTACCACTCAAGACTAGCAGAAAAATTGCCAACAACAGCATGGAAAAAAGGAGAGATAATCGAATGGTTGGATAAACGCGCAATTGAGTACAAGGAGAATTCGACAAAAAAGAAATTATTATCTATTGTAAGGCAACATAAAGCAGCTTATAAAAAATATATAATTGATGAAATGGCATTAAACCGTGATGTAATTATTTTACGTTTACCCCCATACCACTGTAATCTGAATCTGATAGAAAATATATGGTCTCAAGTAAAGGGTGAAGTCGGACGCAACAACAAAACTTTTAAACTAAAAGACTAACAACAATTATTAGAACATTCATTATCAAAAGTAACTCCAGAAAATTGGAAAATGCTGTTAGTCATGCTCACAAGGAAGAAAATAAAATGTGGAATTTGGATAATATGACTGATGCAATGCTGAAACCGGTAATAATTAACATTGGAGTTGAAGATTCCTTAGATTCCGAAGAAAGCAGTGAATTCGAAATGGAATTTGATTAAAATAATATTCAATTTTTTACAAATCGACCCCTGTTACAGCCAGAAATTATTGTATATATAACCAATAAAATAAACATCTTACATTTCTTGCAAATTCATTAGTACCTGTTAATCTCCATCACTCCGACACTGGCAACTTTATTTAGGATTTAGTAACCCTCAAAAATATTGTATTCTCTTCTGCTTCAACCTTTATACCTAGTGGTCATACTCAATTTAAAATTGTTTTCCCATATACTTCTGTAAACTTGTTGACAAATATCTATTTTGCATTGAGTCACCCGTATCAACAGTTAAGGGATTTGCATACATAATGTGCTATCAATATAATGGAAATGGACTATAACGCGTTACTTTATGAACACACACAAAACTATTGTATTTTTGTCCACCCTGTACCAATTTGAATCAACATGTGATACATTTTTGGAATCAGCTCAGCTAGAGTAATCCGAAAATTGAGACAAAATGGGGGTGTTCCATTAAAAAAATGACGGTGACGTCATTACTCGAAAGTAATTCACCCCGTATATTAGAATATTATTTTAAAATAAGGTAAATTAAAATCAAAAATCGACGTGTTTCAGGATTATTTCTTAAAATGCTCTGTTTAGCTAAAAAATAATTTGTTACGGACACAGTGTATATGTTAATATTATAGAACTTTAATTCTTAATTAACACACCAACTGAAATTGTAATTTACTTTGTAATTATGTTTATGTTGTGATTATCGAATTTTGTCCTCTGGCTAATAACGCTCAATAGTTGATGCGGTCAATAGAAAAAAAATGACTTTAATTAAACTAAAATAATTTTCAGATCATTTTACTGAAACTATTCGACGAAGCATTAAAACAAACGCATCAGATCAAGCAAGTCCATCCTTTTCTAATGAGCAACTTACGCTTTCCGAAAGATCTAAATTTATCTTCGGTTGGACTACTAGCTCCCGAAGTTTGTCAAATTAGAGACCGATTTGTTTTGGCTTACGAGAAAGCTCTGATACCTCTAAAAGCGTATGCTCGAAAGTATAATATGCATTTGGAACTTTTCAACATGGATGTCAATGCATTTATAGAGTAAGTAATACATTATTAAAAATTGTTATTACGGTTCGGTTGATTACAAAGATTTTTTTGTAAAAACTTGTCTTTAACACTGGACATTAATCCTGTTTTTCATACCTAGTACGGTATTATATTTTTGACGTGTGGTATGATTTGAATAGTAATTTATATACCTGCCTGATGCTGCCGGCTCTTGGTACCAATCTGGACATATTATACAAAATTTTACGTAACAACGGATATCTTTTCTATCAACAAATTAAAAAAAACTTTTTACAAAAATAATTTCTATGACGGTCCCGTCCATGATTCTAACAACAAATCAATCAAATAAAAAAAAACTCCCCTTTATTAATGGTCTTACTCATTCTGTCATATCCATATTCAAAATGTTCCCGATATTAGTAGGGGAGCCAGCTCAACAGTGAGACAGGTCCTACAGTGAGATACTGTTTCTCCCCCACTTATCACGCGACCGACTAGGTTTTCCATTGGTGAGCAGACACCTTACATATTATTATCAACAAGTAATCGCTGACAGTGTTGAACACGCGGCTGGAAGAGATGTACGCGTCGTTTAAATTAATTTAATTTCCACGTGCGTAAGTAAATATTTTCAAGTTTTGTCAGTTCTTGTTTTTGGAACTAATAGAAAGTATTTTGGTGGTCTGCCTAGGTTAAAGGTAAGTGTATTTTTATGTAGATTACAAGAGTGGGATCATTTTGTCTCTATAAATTTTATTGTATTTAGGTTACACAATGCTTCCGACTACACGTGCCCAACAGCGAGACACCCAACAGTGAGACAGTGTCTCACTGTTGGGCAAATGTGACCAAATATTTTTTTGTTGCAGGCTAATTATGGATCCAAAGAAAAGAAAAATTTGAAGTTAGGCAGAGGAAACAATGAGAGAAACAGTAAGTCTGGTCAGAAAAGGAGGATCTTTAAGAAAAGTAGCTGCTTTGAAAGATATACCATTTCAGACATTGGCTAGATATGTTAAGAAAGCTAGAGACGTTGACGACATTAGTTAAATATGGATGAGTCCCAACTACAGTAATAATAAAGTATTTACGTCCAAAGAAGAATATTCCCTAAAAAACTATATCATAAGCTGCTAACGCATGTTTTATGGGTTGTCTGTTGACGATTGTAGAAAAGTTGTTTATGAAATAGCAATAGAAAATAAAAAGAAAATTCCTGTCAAATCGCATGAAAGAAAAATAGCAGGGCTGACATGGATGAGAGGTCTTCGCCAAAGACATGTTAGACTGTCGCTTCGCACCACCGAAGGATGTAGTTTATTCCGTGCGACGTCATTTAATAGACATATTTCAATTTTTTTCCAAAATTTGAAGAATATATATTCAAGAACTGATGCGTTTGCTGACGGAAGAAGAATCTACAATTTGAATGAGACTGCGACTACGACGGTTCAAAAGACAGCAAAGGTTGTTGCTGAGAAAGGGGTGAAGCAAGTTAGCAAGGTAACAAGTGGGGTAATTGGTTATCACTACTTGCATCGTTAGTGCCACGAGACAGTACCTACCATCAGCAATGGCTTTTCCTAGGGTGTATCTAAAGGAACATATGCTACGAGGCTCCCCATCAGGAACGTTAGAGCTTGCTACTTCAAGTGGGTGGATGAATGCTGATCATTTTTTAGAAGCAATGAAGCATTTTATAAAATATTCTAACAATTCTAAAGAAAATCCATCGCTTTAATCTATGACAATCATAAAAGTCATCTTAGTATTCGTGTTCTTAATTTGGCCAAAGACAACAGAGTAACAATTCTAACATTTTCTCCTCATTCCACAAATAAGATGCAACCACTAGATGTGGGGGTATTCGAAGTATTCTCAACATGTTATAATGAATCTGTAGATACCTTTTTTTTTTGTCTTTATAGAGGGGGGGTCTGGAATTTTCAAAAGACATCTCAGTCCAGGACGCTGTCTGACTGACCTTAGTGCTGGATTCGTTCTTCGTACTCCCGGCGATAGTTCCCGAGGTACTTTAAAATGCCCTCTCGTCGCCGAGTCTACGCCGAACGCCTACCTGCTAAACCAGACCCTCCTCTGTCATCCAGCGATCCGGAAGCGGAATGGCCGCTGTAAGGCCGGCATCACTTCCGAAGCACTACCTTTATTCATTCATTCTCCATTCATACACATCCACACTCCTAGTTCGGCATCATTCTCAGAAGGGCATTTCCTCCTTCCCCACAGTCAAACTTACGCATTCTAACTCAAAAAGTGTGACCCACTGTTCTAACTTCACCTTTCATCATCATCAATCTGTAGATACCTGGATCATGCAACATTCAGGTAAGCCTTTTACCATATATGAGGTAGATGAGTGCGCCGGCTTTGCTCATGAAAAACCTCACACCGAGCAATATTATAAATGCATTCAAAAAGTGTGGTATATATCCATACGATGCCAATGTTTTCACAGATATAGACTTAATATCTGTATATTTTCTATATCGGATCTAGAAAATGATGCTAAAATTAAAAATTTATTGTACATCATATTTATATTTATTATACATCATATTTATTATACCTCAGTATTGAAAATAGCAATCAACATAACGATAAAAATGGCAAGGCTGTCACAGATGTTTTTAAAAGCCCAGAAGAATTTAAGGGCTTTCCAAATGCAGGAGAACGCAAAACTAAAAATACGCAAAGGACGGGCAAAAGTATTATATCTACTGATACACCCGAAAAAGACGCCATAGAAGAACGAAGCATTATGACGAAAAAAAAAAAAATTGATAAAATCGAAGTGAAAAAAGTAGAAAAGGTCGAGAAACAAATATTTGAAGATAGTTCTGAAAGCTCAGAGGGAGAACTTGAACTTGGTTCATCCTCAGGGGATGACTGCTACTATACAATCAATCCAGATGGATTTGAGGAGCTTTATACAAAGCCCATAGAAAATAATTTTGTGCTCGTGGAATTTCCTGAAAAATTGGAGAAGAGGGTGTATTATGTTGGAAAAGTCCTGAAAATAAAAGAGTCAGAAGAGTATGAAATTTCGTATCTTAGAAAACAAACGAAGCAGATGAAGCTATTGTTGCTTTAAAAGGTATCAAGCTCATCACGCTACCTCCAATTCCTTGTGGGCACACTAGCCGACAGATCGCTTCTTTTACGTTTGAGATAGATTTTGGATTAATGGACATTAGGTAGATACATACCTACATATTATATTTTTATGTTTACTCATTTTTTTATGTTCTGTATCTTTTTTTTTGTTCATTTTGGAAGTGTCTTTTGTGTTCAATAAATATGATTTATAAACTATGTTCACAACAATCAGTATCAAAATTAGGTTATGAGAATGATATGTTAATCTCAATCACAATATCCCCAATAAACTTTTTCAAAACACAACAGCCTAGATAAGATTTTTTGACATCTAGATTATATATTTTCATTTATTTTTCCTGTCTCACTGTTGGATTTAAAGTGTCTCACTGTAAGGCATATGTGTCCTTCAGTGAGACAAATGTACCTATCTATATTCTTGCAAAGAAAAATATCAAACTTCAAAGTTACAAATATTTCACTTGAAGAGAGATTAATATAAATGTCAACGCCTATTCGCTCCTTGGGTCTCCCCTCTATTTACAGTCACGTGACACGCTGTCAGATTTGTGAGGACGTTTTAGTATTGAGTCTTATGGGATCATTTGTTAAACTTAAATATTTTATTTTGTAGTGTTAATATCCGGATACAATTTTTAGAATTAATTAGTTATTTATTTATAGTGACATTTATAGTTCAACAAAAATATTTTTTGTCGTTAATAAAGATTTGTTAACATAATCTGCGAAAGTGAGGTTATATATACATTATCAACATCCATGGTACAATGAATATGTTCATTGTACCATGCACAAAAGCGTCCTGATAAAATTTCAAGCAATCGCCACCATGAGCAGGTCAGACAATTTTGCTTTGACACTTTGTTAACACTCGCCTTAAATTTTTTCATTTTGGATAGATAAAAACTAAAATAAAAAAAAAACTGTCTCACTGTTGGGATGGCTCCCCTATAGCTAAATATAATACCATGAACAGCAAACAACTATTTTCAAAAATCAAAGACCCAGTACCAACCATTACAAAAGTAATGTTGTTTATGAAATACCGTGTCTAGGATGTCAAAATAGCTACATTGGCCAAACTTCACAATGGCTAAAACAATGCATCACACAACATAAAAGTGATTGCCGATTGGGAAAAACATCACATTAACAAAATCACAAAAATAGAAACACTATAAATTATAAAACAAACACTAGACAGTTAAGTAAGATGTTTATTGTAATATATTGAACAAAATTTATAAACATTGAAAATAGCTAACATTCACCTTAATAACAACTAACCTTAATAATTCATCAAAGAAATATCATTCTTCCAATGTTTCTTTTATTGTTATTTTTATTTTTACATTTGAAGTAATTTAAATTTTTTTATCGTATTGCTGTGACGAACGTGCTTAATAATAACATTTATTACAAACTTCAATGCCAATTTTTATTTGTGAAATCTTTTAATTTCTGTGATTTTTTAAATTTATTTGTACGCCATTTTTGTAATGTTGAAATTGTTTTACAATGTACTTATGATGAAGCTATTAAATAGCGAAATATTGAGCTTCTTAGAAAAAACAAAGATTTTTATTAGAGACCACTTTACCTATTCCTACGTATTTATAAATTATTTTTTTGTCGAAATAATCACTTTTAATATATATATATATATATATATATATATATATATATATATATATATATATATATATATATTCCATCTAATTTACTTACCCTTGCACGCCATTATCATTGACAGAGATCGAAGTTGACATAGTTGCCAAAGTATAAAAAATTCTAAATCCATTTTAAATAAAATAGGTCACATAATTATTGCAAAAGTATCACCATCAACGACTATTTAAATTCTTACGTGACATTTTTGAAACAAAACA